TAACCCCTAAACCCTGAGCTCTTGAAGCTACAAGGCGTATAGCCCTAAATAGCAACTTCTTTGAGGCAGGTGTGGTGTTGCCCAGAACGAGCCTTTGGGGTTTCGAGGGCTTTCCGTGTTTTGGGGGGGTTTCAGGGTGTGCAGGTTCGGGGATTCGGGAGTTCGGGGGCTTAGGGGCCTGCTGTACCGAAAGGGAAAGGAGGGCCTTACGGAGCTTAAGGCTGAAGCTGAGGGTTTTTTTAAAGCGCCTCGGAGGCAGCTCCCACCATCTTCTGCAGTGGAGCCGAAAAGGCGCATCGTGTGGAGGCGAAGGTCTTCGGAGGAGAGCTCGGCGAGGAGCACGGGAGGCCTGGATGCAAGGAGCATTGCAAGGGCGCAAGGACTCTGAGAGGAGCTCTTAGTCGCCATCTTTAGGGGTCTTTGGTATTTTTTTGGTCGGTTCGCGTCAGCAACCCAGGAACACGATCGTGCTTCAGTGCGACTGGCCAGAAGCAGATGCAAACCGGACGTCCTTCGATGTGTTTCTGGAGGACGGCGATGGCCACGAATTGGGTCGCGTGACGGCCGCCCAAAATCCCTCGCTGCTCCGTCATTATGGAACCGTGGGCTGTGTGCGCCCTCTTTGGAACGGAGATATCTCGGCTGTGGCCATTGCGCCCCAATGGCTCGAGTTTCATGCCTTGCATGGTGTGGAACACTTCCTCGTGTACACCGCGTCTGATAGCGACGAAGTGGTTCTCAAGATGTACGAGCCTTATATCAAAGCCGGCCTCGTCACACGTGTGCACTTCAACACTGTCAACACCGACCTGCTGAAGGGTGCTAACACCTCTCACCCAGCCATGCAACGACATCACGTCCAGACGTGGGCCATGCACGACTGCCTCTATCGCATGAGGAGCCGCGCACAGTGGCTGCTGCCATCGCTGGATGTGGATGAATACATCAGATTAGGAGATTCAACAGGAGCTTACTTGAGGACAGCCTGGGACAAGATCGCAGCAGACCACATGGGAAGCAAGTCTGGGATGGTCCGCAGCATTCGAGCCTTGGCTCAGTTGACCTTGTAGGTTTGGGTGACAAACCTCTACGTGCTCGTTCGCCGTGACAGGACAGTCTTGCAAAGTTCGTCTTCTGCAAAGCTTCCACTTTGGACTGGCGGCTTCCTGCTGCCTGTGCCATCCCGAGTAGTACTTGTAGAAGAAACATTCACAGCCCGTAGGGGCACAAAAAAAACTGACGACACACTGGATGCAAAGTTGGTCGTGAGAGTTCTGTCCATCCGTAGATAACCCCAGGGCATGTTCAAAGTGTTCACCGTTTGCTGCTCAGTTTGCGTGGGCAAGAGACTTTTTGAGGTCTAGACCGGCTGAACTTCCCCATCGAAGAGAAGCGAGATGTTTCCAAGCTTCTGATTGCCGCAGAGCATCGTTATCGGGAGACATATGTGCAGCCGAAGTATGTCATGCGCCCGGCCTTCAATCAGGCGAGATGCCCTGCATGATCAGAGAGCTTCGATAGCTGCGAGGGGCAATAGTTCTGCTAGCTGTAGTATCGTCAGGCTTGCATCAAAGCACATTGACGTCAGAACGTGATGTGGCTTGGGCTAGGAGCTGGGAGCTTGCAGTCAGATTCCGAAGCCTGGAAAAGCTGGGAAGTGTCTCCCCTCGTGTATGGAGCCCGAAGCCTTCACTAGAACTCGGGCTTTTGGTTTCGGGCTCTGGGCTGAGGGGCTTCCGCTTCGAGCTCTCGAGTGCAGGTTCTCTCCGTCCACTGCCAGAAGAGCTGGACCAAAGGAACGCAAGAGATTCAGATCTCTCCTTCCGAGGGCTTCGTGGCTCGGAACCGTATGACCGTACGGTTTCGGAGATTTTGCTTGAAAGCAATGGTGCTTCAGACACACAAACTCTTCCAAGATCTGATTCAGATTTCATGTCTTGGACTTGGATCTTGATTGATGTCGCAGACTCACCCATGCTTTCGACAAAGTATCGGGGGCCAAGATTCGAGAAGATTCGAAAGCGTCTCAGCCAGGTGGCCCACTATCGGGTGCATGCGAAGCGAGAGGAGAATGGCCCTCACGGGCAGAAGCCCAATGTCTCTGACCCTCATCAGAAAGGGAGCTTGAGGTCTTTGGGGCTTCCGTAAGAATCCGCAGGGCTGATTGAATGCAGTGGAATGTAGGAATCTGATTTTCTGAACCCCGATAGTTTGGGGTTATGGCCCCTAGATTGGTTGAGTATTGGGATTCCGAGTGGCAGCTCAAGTATGAAGTCCGGGAATTCACGATTCTTATTAGATGCGAATTAGATGTGACTTCTGTCCAGCTTGCCGAATCCTGAACACCACTGCAGGGCGGGCTAGCGAGGCTGGATTTAGCGAATCTAACTCGCGCAGCGCGAGAATCCCGAGGACACCACCCTCTCGGGTCAAGTGCCCTTGCTGCTCGCAGCGCTGGATAAGCGCTATGGTGGCAGGTGGCCATCCGAGCCACACAGCCTTGCGAACTGTGTAAGATCCACCATGTACACACGTGTTACATGTGTGTGTATATATATATATATATTTATTTATTTATTTATTTACTTCTTCGCATACATATACAAATTGGACAAACAGCCACATACGTTCATTTTGCTTCAGTGGCAGGTTTTGGGGTGACGGGACAAGCGTGCGCTTCCAAGCCGGCATCGCTGTTGAGGCATGCGTATCCAACACCCTCCGCGGCCAGAAAATGCTGTAGAACCCGAAACCTCTAAACGCCTTAAACCCGCGAAACCCCCTGAGCACCAACCTCCCAAAACCCCAAACCCGTAAACCCTAAGTGTGACCCGGGCAGGTGGCCCGCGCTGGCTGCGGAGTTCCGGACCGGATCCTCAATGCCAATCGGCGACCTCTGAGGTTCAACAGCTGCAGTTTAGGGTCCGAAGTTTAGGATTCTTCAGTATCTTGGATTTCATGGGGTTTAGGGTTTCGGTGGGCCTTGAGCACGGGTCTCGTGCCGCCTTCGCTGCGGCTCGATGCTCGGAGGATACACTAAAAGAGTCATGTGCTGTATACACCACACGCAGACAGGATTTATATATCTAGTATACGCATATGATATATATCTTGTAATATATAGTGTATAGCATATTCCATAGATCATATAGCACATAGCCTCGAGTGTATGTCACATGGCATAGTGCATATGGCATATACAAGAGACCAGGTAGCATATAGGAAACTCAACAAAGCGTATGGCATACTTACTTGTCCAAAGTACACTGTGCGAAGTACACAGTACCTTGCATATAGTACATAGTATGCAGCGAATAGCATATTATAGCTAGTATCTTTAAAAAAAGGTATACAGCATATAGCACAACATAGCATCTAGCATAGACTATACATGGCCAGCATTCGGCATTTAGCATATAGCATATGGCATGGAGCATACAGTATGCAGCCTATAGCAGGATGTGGTATACAGTCTTGCTGTATAGTACATAGTGTATAGCATACAGAATACGGTGTATGGTCTATAATTCTATAATATATCGTATTTTGCATATAGCATATACTATATACTATATAGTATATAACGCATAGTGTTCATTATGTAGAATATGGTATATGGTAAATGTTTACAGTATACAATGTCTAGTATGCAGCATAAAGTTTATGGAATATCGTAGATGGCTTATATTGTTTAGCGGGTGGAGTGTGTAGTTTTCGATCTGTAGTATATCGTACAATGTACTACACCGTACGTAGTATAGAGTACTTAGTATTCTGTATATCGTACGTACTAGATAGTTGCGATCCGATGTCACTTTTGTGATGTTCGGAGCTGAGTACATCAGGGTACGTTGAACAGTGTTGGCGATGTGTTTTGCTTGTGGCAGTGAAAGGTGTACTGTGTGTTTCTGATTTCGAGGGGGGGCTAGTGGTAGTGGTAGTGGTGGTAGTAGTAGTAGTAGTAGTAGGAGGAGGAGGAGGAGGAGGGGGAGGAGGAGGAGGAGTGGTGGTAGCGGTGGTAGTAGTAGTAGTAGCAGTAGCAATAGTAGTAGCAGTAGAAGCAGCGGTGGCGGCGGCGGCAGCAGCCGCGGCAGCAGGAGGGAGTAGTACCAGCAGCAGCAGAAACAGCAGCAATAGAGACACCCGTGAGCTGGTGATATTCCGCAAGCGGTCGCGGCAGCTGTAGCGTTGTGGAGGATGGGGTTTCAGGTTTGATGCGGCTTGCTTTGCACCGTGAGCTGACCTGTGACCTTTTACTATTGCTCTCTGTTTCGCATGGCGAAAATCTCACTCGACTCTGAACTTTCCGTTGTCACCCGGAGCAGGTCGCGGAGTTTCAGACCAGAGCGTCAGCGATCGGCCTCTGATGTGAGAAAAGGAGAACGCTCTTGGATGATCCAGAATCAGCAGTGGCCACGATAAGCATCAGACAGCCTCTCTCATGTACAAACCCGAGGGATCCACGGCTATGGTTTCAGGCTTTCGCGGCATGGGCATAGAGGCTCTGCACCGTCCCCAAGAGAAGGTGCGGATTGGCAGCTCAGCAGAAGTTGCGAGGGCATCCGTGACAGAGCAAGAACAGCTTACCGCACCGAGACTTCCACACTATATGCGATGTACCGTGGCATGAGTAGGGCAAACGCAGGATCTGGGCTACCGGAGATGCCTGTTCTCCCACTCTGATCTGTTTGTTGCCTTTCCAGTATCTTCGTCCTGCAACTGCGCGGCAGGCACCTGGGTCAAATCAAATTTAACATGCAAGGCATGTTCTAGTAGCAGCTATCAGCAGCTATCGATCGACAGGGCCGTCAAAACAACGTGAGCAATGATGAACAGACGAGGCAGTGACCGTGGCAACTGTGACAGAGACACACAAAGCAAAGGCTTGCTGCGAGTACAGATGACTCGCCAAGCTTATTCTTGCACTTTTAGGTTTTTTGCGGCTCTGAAGGGCCTGAGCCCTGCATGCTAGCTTTCGATACCGAATCCTGCATGGGCCGATGTGGCGGCTTGCGACTCCTTTGGGGCTGGGCTGCTGCGCGCTAGTGACTTGACCTTACGTTGGGCTTCCAGGCTTAGGTTTAGGTTACTTAGCCTGTCGATGTCGAATTGCAAGATTTTGGGACAGGAAGGCAAAAGGTTGCCGCCATTGAATGCTGCTTACCCAGGCATGGGCGATTTTGAGGGGTTGGGGCGTGCGCTGCTTCCAGGCATCCGGGTCCCCGACCTGCCACGCAGGCTCTGACACAGCGGCTCGGCTTCAAGCTGTTTCGTTCAGGTCTCCAAAGTTGGTCGCCCATCATCATCACAATCTGCCCTGATTGAGGTAGGACATTTAGGATGTTCTAGCGCGGGCATTTGTGCATTCACAGAATGCATTTGGGCATGTGCAGGTCCTCCTATCCTGTCTTCGCACTGGTAGAAGTAACATCAAATCACTTCTGAGGTGTTTCATACATCTATACATCTATCCTGAGGAGCTCTGTGCATGGCTCATGGAGTTTTTAGTCGGGGTACGGTGCATCTTTGAGTGCCCGTGTCTGCAGGGCATACGGCGACTGCACAGCGCTCTTCCAAGGACAGTGCATCGGCGTTGCAACTCCCACCACGCGCGCCGCAGAAGCCGTGCCTGTCTTTCATCCACATCCCGAAGGCCACAGGGCCAGTTTTTCACGGGCTGTGAGACTTCTTGAGTGGGACTGGCTGCTTTGTTCTTTTTGTTCAGGACTTTGGACAAACTAACTAGGTGCTCCGCCACCGCTGCTACTGCTACAAGTCGTTCCTGTTTGTATATGACGACGACTTCTACTCCCTGACTCGTCGTCCTGATGCTAGCACGACGACGCCTTCTTCTCCTTCTCCTTCTTCCTACTCCTGCTCCTCCTCCTGCTCTTACTCCTCCTACTCCTGACCCTGCTGCTGCTGCTGCTGCTGCTGCTGCTGCTGCTGCTGCTGCTACTGCTGCTGCTGCTGCTGCTGCTGCTGCTGCTGCTGCTGCTGCTGCTGCTGCTGCAATTGCTACTGTGACTGCGTCTGCGTTTGCTGCTGCGACTGCTACTGCTACTGCTACTGCTACTGCTACTGCTACTTCTGCTCCTACTCCTACTCCCACTCCTTCTTCCCCGTCCCCTCCTCCTCCTGCTCCTCCTCCTCCTCTCCGACGACGACCACGATGCTGCCGCTGCCGAGGACGACGGACCATGACTATTGCCAACACGGCTCATGCTGACCATCCAGCGTGAGTCTTTTGATGCCTACTGCAATTGTATTATTTCTCCTCAGTGCTCGGCCCCATGTAAACTCTACGGGCCTAGTGTAAGCGCCTTCGCATCTCGAAGGCAGGTGGTTCCAACATCGAGAACCTCATTGCTCATGCGGTGGGCACGCTCCTGAGCCGGTTCGAACAAGTCGCTTGCTTGTTGTTTTTGTATTGCAGTCACCTGCTACCATCTCTCTCTGCCTTGTTTCGGCCTTCCCCCGGCTTTTTGCGAAAACTGCCCAACTTCGGCGGCGTCCACCTCGCGGATATCAGGGTGCCTCATTCCTGCGCCCTTAGGCTTCCACGGCCTGGTCGAGAATCCGCCCGACTGCCCCGCAGCTGAAGTATCTCGTTGGGTCGCGGGACACACCGGGGACTTCGCAAGCAGATGTTAAACAGGCTGCCGCGGCCCGAAGGGTCTGAACCCGAACTATCCGAACTGGCCCTGCTTTGCAATCCCACGTGAGGCTTCGATGAGATGGGTTGGGATGGATTAGGCTTTTAGGCTTTGGGCTCAGGCTTCGGTGTGGGCGGAGCATTCATTGTTGTAGTGACAGCACTGCTTTGGCCTGGAATCCCTCATTCTTGGATACACGATCTGGCGAAAGCGGCTTACTTACAACATGAAGGAGTCACGAGGCCAATCGAGATAACACAGCGGGGCTTGCAAGTTTGAGATTCCATCGCATCGCGAACTTGTAGTCCCTTCCGTTGCCGGAGGTATGGACAAAGCCAGGATTCCCGATCTGAGGTTATCGGGAAGGGCACCTAAACGGATCCGGAGGAATCTACCACTTCTGGGCTTGAAGGCACAGCTGGAAAAGCTCAGGGGCGTCAGGTGTTTGGGCCTGGAAGAAGTGTCTACCTGACCGGCGTTTGCTCAATTCGTGTTTCGCATTTAAACCTAATTCGTTCGTCTCGTACCAGCAGCTAAGCTAATACACGAGGAACACAACTGAAACAAGCACAGAACTAAACCACACGACGGTTGTAAAGTTAGGCAAGGTGTATTCTGTGCAGTTGCGCTTCTTTGAATAGCTTGGTAAGGTGTAACTGTACTGAGTGGGGTGAAAGGAAGCGCAGTTTAGTCTAGTTTCAAAAGAAACAGCAGAACAATGCCAACAGCGCAACAATCCCAACACTGCGAAGAAAGACCCAAACCTTAATGTAGACCCCTGATGAACAAACCACCGGCTCTCGAAAGGGCTTCTAATCAAAAGGGGCAAAAACACAGGGGTCTACATTACCATTTAAGAAGCTTAGCCTGTTAGTATTGAAGCTTGGTATCATGCTCCTGGTTTTCGTTGTTTAAAAGTGCTTGATTCATGCGCTTGAAAGCCCTAGATACTAGGAGTTGACAAGCTGAACTGAGCTGTGCTGCTGCGGGTCAGATTGACATGTCTCATGCTAAAGTGCTACGAAATCGAAATGTGGAAGGTTTACGGGAATTCGTGCAATGATTGGGACTGGCTATCCCGGACAAGGTGTTGCTTTTGCGGTTGTGGCTGTTCGTAGCATGCGGAGAGCTGAGGCAGGGTCCTTCGAAAAATGGAGGGCAATGCGCGACTTTGGGGCATGTGCGATGACAGGCTGCAGTGTGCAGCTCGACGGTACTTCGGGCATAGGTCGGTGTCAGTCGTGCAGGGCCAGGTGCAAGCATGGGACCTTTCTGGCTAAAGACCCTCTCCCGTCCCCAAACCCTTCCCCAGTCTGGAACTGGAAGCACGTAGACCTGCAGACCTTGCAGTGCCAAGCCTGCACACATCTCGACATGGCAAGCCGAGGCCTCGCGGAAGAACTGCGGATGGTCCTGCCTCAAGCCCGAGAATTCAGAACTGAGGGAGGTTGCTTTCGTGCTTAAGAGCACGTCGACTGCGCTTAAACTGGAAGGGAAGCATTACTCGCTTTGTGAAAAATCTTTTCGAGTCTCTAGCCTGTGGCCCTGGCGGGCTATGGGTTTCTCTTCGGTAAAGACGTGAAAGCACTGAAGGGTGATTGACCTGGCCCCCGCCCATGACGTTCGCCAAGCCATACACTCTGAACGCTAGCCCCAAACCTTGGTGCTTCAACAGACCCGATTGTGACTCAGGTGGTGACTGCTGCCTCTTGACTGCATGGGCAGTGGAGCAGTCCAGGAATTTGCTACTCTTACATGGCAGCAGCACCTACTCAGTACTCTCGTCTAGAAGCTCAGGAGTCTCATGAGAGTAAGCGTTCGTGGTCGAAACATTGTGTGTAGCGGCGCAAAAGTCAACCTTGACCCAACAATCTCTAGCCGCACATCTCAGGCTCCAAGAACTTAAATCCTTGAAGCCAACAGAAGGTTTCGAGGAGAGTTTCTTAAACTTTCCTAAAGCCCGAAACCTTAAACCCCTGGACTACCCCCTCCAACAGGCACGAAGCAAGAGACAGAGCCCACTCGAGGTTACGTCAATGCGTCCTTCGTCCCGGTTCCCACGCCCAAGGCCCAAGTGGAGCCTCGACCGTCTTTTTAAACGGGTCGTCGGTTACAATGTTTTCGGTTTGGCTTAGGGTTAAAGGTTCACTGATTTACAGCTTTGAAGCAGAAGATATGCTCAGCTTCTGAGGGCTTTTACAGCCTTGGTACTCCCACGGTTCCGGAGTCTTACAACGAGAGCATTGGCGAAACAGCCTCAATCCACTGCTTGTTGTTTGCGAGCCGGCCACCGCAAAAAGCCCCAGGATCGCTGCAGCTTTTGGCACTTTCCGCCCTCCCTGGATGAGCGGTTAGTCCTGACCTTGGTGCCAGAAGGGGCATTCTCCAGGTTATGTTGTCCTCACAGGATGGATCGACCTGCCTTTGCACTTCTGTTTTGAAGGCTGGAGCTGAAGTGACCTCCGAAGGGTTCGCTGCGATCAGGGCCCCGAGCTTCGCAGCCTGAACCTTGGCGTTTCGGCTCGAGGATTGGTGATCAAGGCCGCTACATCGCGCGGTGTGCCCCCGTCACCTTCCGTTGGTGCTCTTTGCGATCAACTCCTTTGCGACTTCTACGCCCCTCACTTCGCAGCCATGCGTGAGGCCATCTGCATCCACATCGGCCAGGCGCGCAAGCAGACTTCGAGTCTTGTGTGAATTCCGCGGAGTCTCCTCGACCTTTGTCAAAGGGAAAACGTGCTTGCCTAAACTTTCAGGGCGGTGTGCAGATCGGAAACGCCTGCTGGGAGCTCTTCTGCCTCGAGCATGGTATCCAGCCGGATGGCCAGATGCCCAGCGACACTTGCCGGCAGCAGGCTTTCGTATTGGGAGAGCCCGGCAGCTCGAGGCCGAGAGCTGTCAGTGTCTGAAGACGGCTACTTCGGCATGAAGCTAAGGACAAGACCATCGGTGGTGGAGATGTTCCTTGTCCGTCTTGGGGTGTGTTTGTTGATGGCACAGATCTTTAAGTTTACTTTCGAGGCTAGCTCCTAGGACAAATGGCGGCCTTTGAAGCACCTGAATTCTGCTTAGCCCGCTGACCCCCGCCAGGACGCATTTAATACTTTCTTCTCCGAAACCGGTGCTGGAAAGCACGTTCCTCGCTGCGTCATGGTGGACTTGCGCTTAGTTGACCTCCAGCATTTTGGCTACTTGCTAGTTGTGAGATGCCGTGGAATTCGTGCACGGGGAGAGTTCATCTGTTCATGCCGCCCTGCACACTCTGAATCGCTGCAAGGTTGAGCCAGGTTGCCTTTAGGCAGTGTGTACCTGCCCCTTGGGGGACTGAGTGAAACCGAATAAACGCTTGGACTACTGGTCCTTCCACAAACGGGCCAGTTTGGCCAGTCCCAACCGCCAGGATGGCTTATGTACATCAAAACAACAATAAGAATAATAATAATAACAATAAGAATAATAAGAATATTTATAATAGTAACAATAACAATAAATAATAAGAGCAGCTAAGGATCTTGAGCCGACCGTCGTGGACGAAGTTCGCACAGGAACTTACCGTCAGCTCTTCCATCCGGAGCAGCTGATCTCTGGCAAGGAAGATGCTGTTACTTGGCATACCCTGTGTTAAGCCCCCACTGTTTTATGTTTTTTCCTTGTCGTGTGTCCACATGAAGATGCAGAGGCGAACAATTTCGCGCGCGGCCACTACACGATCGGCAAGGAAATCGTGGACTTGGTTCTTGACAGGACAAAACTTAACGTTGATGGCGCGGAGATTTTTTCCGACACAGCTATCTCGCTTGCTTGTGTTGTGTTGCTTGTGCAAGGGTTTATGACATGTGGAGAGGGGGGTTTGGTTTGGCGGTTTGCATTACTGCTGAATGTACCTGCACATCCCATGGCAGGATCCGCAAGCTGGCCGACAACTGCGACTCGGTACTTTCAGTCAGGCTTCAGTTTGAGCAGTATTCGGAACCCCCTTAAGCTTTTCCAGTGGTGGCAACCTGAAGGGTCTCGGAGTGGTATCGGCATGAGGCCTCGAACCGAACCGTGCTGAATGCAATCGCCAGATTCTATACTCCAGGCACCGGGCTACAGGGATTTTGCGTCTACAACGCCACTTGGATTGTATTTCGCGATCCGCTGCTTGGGGCTGTGGCTCCAAGGAAGACCCAAGTCCCGAGAGTCCCGAGGCCTGCGGTGGAGGAACGGGCTCTGGCCTGGGTTGCCTCATGCTGGAGCGCTTGTCCGTGGACTATGGCAAGAAGAGCAAGATCTCTTTCACGGTGTGGTGCTGCCCGCAGGTGGCAACAGCAGTCGTCGAGCCGTACAACACAGAGACTCGGCTTTGCTTTCTAGTCTGGAAGCCCATTCTGGGATGTTTCCTTTGCGTTCCGTCCCGGCAGCTGACAGCGAGATTCGCGCCAAGGTGTTGTGTGTCCACTCCCTTTTGGAGCATACGGATGTGACGATCATGTACGACAACGAGGCCTTGTATGACATTTGCCGCAGGATCCTCGGCGTGGATCATGCGTGTGATGTATGCATGCTTAGTGCTCAGGGAATGGTGTTCGTCGGATCCTGATACACCGCATCTAACTATGCTTGCATCCATGTTTTGTGAGTGGGCCACAGCACTTCCATAAAAACGACTGATGCCCAAAGGGACCTGGGACGTGCATGATGTGCAGGAACCTGGACATCGAGCGTCCCACGTACACGAACCTGAATCGTTTGATCGCCCAGATCATCAGCTCTCTCACGGCCAGTCTTCGCTTCGACGGAGCCTTGAACGTGGACATCACGGAGTTCCAGACGAACCTGGTGCCGTACCCGCGCATCCACTTCATGCTTACGTCCTATGCTCCGGTCATCTCTGCAGAGAAGGCCTACCACGAGCAGCTGTCCGTGGCTGAGATCACGATGTCAGTCTTCGAGCCGGCATCGATGATGGTGAAGCGCCAGCCCTACCTTGGGGATTTTTGTGCTGGAAGGCTTCAAGACAACTCGGGCTAATGGCTAACACCACTTGTGGAGAACATCTGATATTACTTGCCACTTCGGCGAGAGAGCAGTTCTCGTACCGACGTCCAATCATCATCATGCGATGTCACTGCTTTGCGAGGCAGTTTCACTTCATGCCACACCCTTGATTTCCGCTTCGGCGAGAGATAGGTTGTTGCAGCTACAACTAGATATCAGGTGTGATCCTCGGCACGGGAAGTACATGGCCTGCTGCATGATGTACCGCCCGGGTCCCCGGCATTGTGCAGCTGCGGATTCAGCTTTAGAGATGTGCAGGGGACTGAACGGAGAAGGGGGCAACGATGTGCAACACAGGAGCACGACTCCTGTGCTCAGAGGCTGTGTTTTGACAAGTTCTGACTGCCCAGGCGGCGATGTTGTGCCAAAGGATGTGAATGCGGCCGTGGCCACCATCAAGACCAAGCGCACCATCCAATTCGTGGATCCTGGGTTGCATTCTAGATGAACTGCAGGCAGGACCATCGTCCTTGATAGAGGATGACACACTCGGAGAATCACACACTTGGATGGTCCATGATGAAGCTAGCAGATTTGACGTTGCTGTCTGCACCTCTTGCCATACTTGCATGGCATTTGACGTCGTGCATTCTCCGACCAAGCCGGTCCTCCCAGCATCTTAAGCTCACCACCATTTCACATAAGTTTGACTCGTTGCCCTGTGTTCGCAACTTCAGTTCGTGCCGATTGTTGCATGGGGGTTTGGTTGTAAACAGCTTGGGTGAATCATATCAAAAGTTCTTTTCAAAACCATCTCAGCCGGAGTTGTTTGAGGACTGGTGCCCGACGGGCTTCAAGTGTGGCATCAACTACCAGCCACCCACCGTGGTCCCAGGCACGGTTGGTCGGAGAATGGAGTTTCAATGGTATGGATGTCAGGTTTCGGGTTTAGGGGTTCAAGGAGGTGAAGCTCGACGCTTCGCCTTTTTTTGAAGGTCAGGGCTCGGGGCATCGAGCTGAGAGCCGTGTTGACAAAAACGTAGCCATTTGGGGTGGGGCATCTGTATCTTTATCGTTCGGTTTGAGAATGTTCGGCCCGCTGTAGGGGGCCGCGATGGTTCAGAGTCAGATTTAAAAGTGCCGCCGTGGCAAGGTGGCGACTTGGCAAAGGTCATGCGCGCTTGCTGCATGATCTCCAACTCCACGGCCATCGCCGCAGCTTGACGGCGTTTGGAATTTCTGCTTTCAGGCTTGTCGGGGCTCGAGGTGAAGAACTGCTGGGAGCTTACGGTTGTTCCGCCCATACAGCCGTCCTCTGCGGTCCGGCCTCGGCAGATCGTCTCCAGGCCCAACAGGCTGCGTGCCTGGCTGCTACACGATCTGGACTTTTCTGGGTTTCCCGAAGCTCTTGAGAACCAACAACGGATCCATCGCTCCAGGAAGTCTTCTCTCGCATCGACCACAAGTTCGACCTCATGTACTCGTGCCTTGATGCTTCAGCATGGTAAGCCTCAACACTGAAGGCTTCAAAGCTTCAACTTTGCCGGGAAGTGTCTGCCGTGAGAGGTTGGGGCCGTTTCCGCACACCTGCCAACGACATGTTGTGGCTGAAGGTCCATTTTGTGCCTGTGCTCGGTGCTGTTCTGTTCGACTCGGCTGAGTTAACTAGTCCTAGGCCCAGATCCCTTTGCAGCATCCTCTTGCGAGCCGCAACCAAACTTGGAAAGCATACCCTGTCGAGAAAGCTTAGACCCGTTTTGAGAATCCCGATTGTAACGCATGTAGTTTCACCGAGGAAGCGAGCCTTCGTGCACCACTACGTTGGTGAAGGCCCCACACTTCGGGGTCAGTTACAGGAACGAGCGGCTGACTTCTACGGTTGAAACTATGTCCGCCCGGGGTGTATGAGCAGATGCTCTTCGGCAGGTATGGAGGAGGGTGAGTTCTCGGAGGCGCGCGAGGATTTGGCCGCCTTGGAGAAGGAGCAATAGGGCCAGAGTCGGGACAGCGGTGTCGGAGAGCGAGAGCCAGCGAGAGAAACGGATAGGTGACAGTGTGTATGCTGCGTGTAAACATAGTTTGGGCCTGGGGGGACGGGAGAGGGAGGGAATCTGCGAAAACTCAAAGCTGCGGTGCCAGGCCGGACACATGCATCACGAGAAGGGGGCTGTCGTGTAGGAGACAACACTTGTGTCAGGCCGCCACCGAGAGAGCGCCCACCATGCAGCCAGCGAAGAAACCAGCTAAGATAGACCCCAACGATGGTCCTTGGCAGTGAGCGGGACAGACAAGTCCCCACCAGTTTCGGCAGACGGAGTTGCTTCGCACTCGTTTTTACCGTCAGCTCTGAACCCTAAAAAGAACTTAAAAAAACTTATTGAACCCTGATGAACCCTGAAACCTATTCTGAACTAAACCCTATCCATAAATTCTTGTGTCAGGGCCTGGTATAGAATTTTTACTTCGCTTAGGGATCCCGTTCTGAGCCACCTTCTGCTTCCTCTCCTCCGCCCAGGCCCTTAATTAGGCGTAGGCGAGATAGGCTTAGATGCCCCGGATACCCTTGCGGGTTGAGGGATTGCCAGTGACCGTTGAGACGGACGATAACTCTGCCGAGCCGCCCCTTTCCGAGCCCCCTGCAGGATCCGACGCGTCCTTGCCTCCTTGCCCGCCTGTCGAACCTCCTCATCAGCAATCGCAGCCTGCACCTCTGCCAGGTCCCACCGTGCGCAACGTCTTCTCCGTCAGGGCCGGGACCCCAGCTTTAGCGCGACCCGCTACAGAGATCGCAAGACACATCAGTGCCTGCAACATCTTGGCCGAGGAGCGCATTGCAAGCGCTTGGCGGGCCGGCCAGGCCGGAGAAAACATCCGAGGTGAGACAAACTTTGTGGACTCTCAGCCTCGCCTGTCTTTGTCGAATGGGGTGTACTGCATTTTGCAGACCCCAGGTGCATCACAGCTTCGCCGCCTACAAGGCCGCTCCTGCTTCGGAGCCCTGAGTCGATGAGCCACGCCTTTCCTTCCGAAGCCGAAGCTCGAGCATACTTTGCACGGGCTGGTCTAGCCTTCCCTGCCTCATAGACGCCTCTTCTATGTTTCCTGCCAGCGCTGGCCACGTTGAGCTACTTGAGTTTTCCTGGCCTCCGAACCTTGCTCTAGACAGCCAGCGGTCATGCACATCTCATGTTCTTATGCTCAGGGAAGGGGGCTACCTTTTGGTCGTCCCAGCTCACTTTTTCTCGGACGAGGACTTGGGAATAGCAGGGTCGGTTTCGGTGGACTTGGGTCCTCACCTTCGCCTTCAAGCCTCCCCAATCGCACTCTCTCCAGGATCTCCCAGATTTCGGCTATGCTCCTCAACCGATTTCACGAAGGAACACTTTGTGACGGGTGACCCAGCCCTCGGGATACTTCTGCCACCACCGCTTTCCGGTCAACCTGCCTGGAAATATGACATCACGTGGTCGTGGCCCCTGCCGCAGCCTGCTGTGTCGGTCTGATACATCTTGCCAAGGGTCTCAGGCGATGCCATCGGCCACCTTCTGTACTCAGGCTGTTCAAGCATTGGAGCTCCAGGCATCCCCAGCTCGGTGCCCTCCCACTCTTGGAGGAATGACAACATGGCAAGCACGGGCTCTCCGACGGAACCGTTCTCACAGGAAAGGTTGCTGCTGCGAGACACCGCCGCTGCGGTGGAACGCTCTTCAGAATCCCGACGTGAATCTTTGGAACTTATGGCAGTGGGCGGTTCGTTCTCCCTGCCCAACGTACCAAAGAAGCCAGAGAAAGCTGGTGCAATGTTACCCTACGGCTTGTCAGGCAAGCCCTTCGATGCCACCCACAACTGGCGGCGGAATATTCAGCCGCTGTTGTCCCTGCCATTCAGGGAGCTCATCCTAATCAAGTTTCGCCAATCCTGCAGCAGGTCTGGCTTCAATGCTGCCCAACCTCCCGTCAAGGGAACTCTGCTCAGCCGATCAGCCCACGCACGAGTGCCATCACTCAACTTTGGCGGCTGCGCAAGGAGAGGCGACACTTCCTTGCAGACAAAGACCTGACCAGCTCCGTGCAGTGGCCAATGGCCAAAGGAGCAAGAGCTGCGTGATTGCGCCAAGGCTTTAAACTTGCCTGCAAGGAATCCAAGCAGGATCGCACCAGCCGTATTTTCCAGGAGGCGGAGAAAACCGCGTTTAAGGGGCTCACTGCGGTCTGGCAGGTCGTCGGGCGTCTGGCTCCTCAGACTGCCCGCAAGCCCGTTCTCTTTAGAGACGAAACGGGTACCCCACTTTCCATTGCTCATGAGGTGCAGAGTCTCACGGATTACTTCCGGCCTATACCGGTCGACCGACCCTGAACCCCTGCCTCCTGGGAATTCTTTTCCGGCCTTTACTTCAAAAGGATTTGAAAACTCTCTATTGCAACTATCTCCGGGCAAGGCGGTACCATCTTGGCTGGCTCCCGCCCCTCTCTGGATTCATGCGGCTGGCTTGTCAGGTATCCTCAGTATGCCTATGTAGGCATGAGGTCAGTGGTGGATGCTATGCAGCGGGCCTGCTCCCGCTGTGCTTCTGCGCGACTCAGAAGGACGGAGGTTCGAGCCCAAGGCGAACACCACGCCGCGCACTGGAGTGCATAATGGAAATCACTGCCACAATTCAGAAGGCCTCTCTCAATCCTCTGGCCATCCTCCGGTTCCACTCCACTCAGAAGCTGAGCGGCAAAATACAAGGCCCAAGATTCCACATCTTCTTCAGATCGGTTCGCGCACACCGGAAGCCATGGAAGTCTACTCCTGCCTGCGCGGGATTGGCAACTCGGCAGTCTGGCAGATCTTGTGCGGCTCTCTCCGCACGGAACGCATGAGTCGCAGCCCGCTGGCCAACGAGTTGCAGAAGCTTTTGCAGCGAGTGCCCGCATTCAGAATCGAGGTAATCACTGCTATGCTGCAACCGTCCCACAGGCCTTCAGCTGGCTGTGTTGTCACTTGCCTCCTTCTCAGGAGGTATGGACTCAGGCCACGCAGCCAGTGATGAAGCGAATGAGTCAGAAAGCCTGCTTACCTGACTTGTGGTGTTCACTTGACTGGACTTTCCTGCGCTCTGGACGGGCTTTTCCTCGCCGTCAGCATGATGTGGCAGAGTACTTGAGTTTCTTCAGGCGATTCCTCATTCCGGACCTTGTTCATGGAGGCTGGCAACGTCGTCTTTTGGGCAACACGCCTCCGTCCACACTGCGAGGTTGTTGACCGTGGGGAGACATGGCCGCTCTTTCTTTCAATGCCAATAGCTCGGTTAGCAGGTGAGAGGTGAGCGCATCACGGTTCAATGTCTGGTATCAGCTTGGCACAACGAGGCCGCCGACGGCATAGTTGCGCTTTCTACAGCGCCTGACCTGCCGGCGATTCAGTTGAATCGCTACTCTGATGTGCATGAGGCCTCCAGCTCCAGCATGCATAAAGATAACACTGAGGTACTCCTGATCTTCAGTTGGTTACCCCTTGTTTCCAGCATGCATACACTCCTGATGCCACTGTCCTCACCACGTCGCTAAAGCGCTACAAGCTTCGCTCGGCCCTCACACATCAGGGGCCCGTTCCCTTAGCAGGCCATTACAGGGCACTCCTTGCCCAGCCTGACCCATCCGAGCACTTTCAGCTGTGCGATGACGACAAAATGGCCGAGATGCACAGCCTTTTGTTGCGATCCCATGTGCTGCTTCCGAACTGTAAACACAGTGCTCACAGAGCCAGGGTGGTCACCTGTCACAATAACCACGCTTTGACGAAGGACCTTTTTTACAGCGCCGGAAAGAAAGACAGATGTACGTACGTATGTACATTCGTACGTGTCCGCTTTTGTGTTTGTGTTTGTGTTTGTGTTTGTGTTTGTGTTTGTGTTTGTGTTTGTGTTTGTGTTGTGTTGTGTATGCAATGCAATGCAATGCCATGCCATGCCATGCCATGCCATGCCATGCCATGCCATGCCATGCCATGCCATGCCATGCCATGCCATGCAATGCAATGCAATGCAATGCAATGCAATGCAATGCAATGCAATGCAATGCAATGT